TGTGTTTAACATTTCTCATATATTTACACTCAATGTTCGTTATCGTAATTCGTAATAATTACTTATTGAAATCAGATTGGATAAAACCAATAACCGATAAAATGCATACGGTATACAGGTAAACTACTGTGTATGATGAATGAAACCACGATTACGGTTTAGAGTATTTTAGGGAAATAATATAAAAATAATATCGTTCATGTAATATAAATAATAATTATCGACCGCGGACACACACACACACACGCATCATTCATCAATATTCAATATATTGTGTAATAATAATAAGAATAAGAATTACATGCGATCATGCGAGACATGATCGGTCGGCGAGGAAGAAAATGCAAGATGGTATAAAATAAGTTGTTTTTTATGGTTTCTGGTAATTTAATTTTAAATAATATGTTTTGAGTAAAATAAAATGTATTTTAAGATGTGTTAAAATTGTCATCAGATAAAGTTATAATTATAAAAGTTGATATTTGATTTTCATGTTGTAAATATTTTTGTTTTTGAAGGCTTAAAACACTGAGATTCAACACTACCTCTCCCAAACATTGTGTTTTTTAATCATTTAAATACTGAACACTACAGGACCGTATTATAACATGGGTCTAGGGCCTACAGTAGAGTTAATCCGGGCCTGCACTAATGTGCCCTGTCGTGATACAAATTTCTGTTTTTCAAAAAGAACTTATTTTTTTAGAATAGTTTTAAAACAAAAATGTTAATGTAGGTGCCTAATTAAAAATCCGAATTGTTTCCAAAAATTCTAGTTTACATAAAAATGTTAATAATTTTTAAAAATGATTTTACAAATATTAAAAGCAAATGAAATATTGGATTTAGTATTTATTATACTTGTACCATTCTTTTAAATTAAATAATATTTTATTATAATCATCGATCTCTTATAGGTACTTGGTACGCAAAGTTAAATAACTCAACAACTAATTTTTCGAATTTAGATTTTGATATGTCAACATTTTTAGAAAATGTATCCTTTAAATAATTTAATCTATGAGAGGGGGAGGAGGTTGAACTTTGAAAAAAAAATAAGTTTATATCTCCGTTTTTAACTCCTTTAATTGAACAGAAAAATTTCATTACAATATTTACGACTTAGGAATTTCGCACGTGAACGTATGCTGTCATATTGGGTCACGTACTCACGTATTAAATGAAAGTTTGATGGTCCAGTATGAAAGGGTCCTAAATAATTTTATTACATTTTTCATAAATGTATACGTCTGTTTGAAAATGATCGTAACTATCTATACTCGTATATATATTATTGTTATAAAACATTTTATTTTTCTTAAACTCGATGAAAACGATCGTCTGAAACTATAAAACTGCAGATAAGGTATTATTTAGTTGAAAAAAAATATGCACCTTATAAGATAGTATGAAAGACTAACGCAAAAATACAAGATTTTTGACGAAAAACATATCAAACTGTGGAAGAGTTCGTGTGCCAGGCCCGAGAGTGTTATGTGACTCGAGTACCTAATATACGTATTATACTAGTATACCCATCTGTGGGTACCATACCTGTGTTCTACTATTTTGCCTTTTGCATCTAAACTGGCGGTCGTGGATCACGAATATTTAGCCACGTCGGCTTACAGTGTAAGTATATTATAATAATATTATCGTCGTGCATGCACACCGCGGCAACAAACGGATGGGAATACGTATGTATATATATATATATACACACTGTGCCGGAATATAGAATATATATTTAGGTCAAGACGGACACGCCAGGCCGGACATTAACGACTTGACATTTAAATCGATGCGACCATCAAGACGTCAAGTGTGTCTAAATACATTTATAATATATACGTATATAATATGTATAACGCAGGTATTATAATGTAGGATTATTATAAACAAATATAGCGGTGCTTAAAATATAAATGCGTCTATATGATTTACGATTTGACGATCGTGTCTGCGGAGAGAAGTAAAACGACGATACCTACAGCGGAATACGCGAACTCGGTCGTAGTAGGTTTGCAATATATAATATTATTTTCGTTCGTATTTGCCTCCCGGCGGGCACACGATTTTTCGTCTTCCGATATAAAACACGTAGGTAGGACAGGACGTATACCTGTTGTACTATATTATAATATTATTATGTCCCAATGCCCCGTATAATAATAAAAATAATATTATAATTATTATGTATTGCAGGCAGCAGTTGTTGTAAGTGAGTTGTTGTGGTAACAATCGGCAAATTAATGATCATTCGACCTGAAAACCCATTCGATTAATAATAATAATAATACGATTCCGTGTATTATATATCGATTTATGTCGCGTATTATATTGTATTAGGTAATAGTATACCTAGCTGGTCCATATGCCTACACGCGTGCACCGCCGACGCCACCACATAATAATATTATCATGTCCGATTGTCGGATTGCATAAAACGCGAAATACGCCGCGTGTTCGTAATATTCGAAAAAATACATTTGTATTATGTTTCACACACGTTGTATTGCGTAATATTCGATCTGGCGCCACGATAAGTTTTAACCATTGTGGATGTATAGTTTACTTGTAAGTAGTATTACGTTTTAACATTTAACAAATTAAATGTACAAGCACAATGATATTAATAATAATTGTTAACTCTGGATTTCGCAACAGTTAATTGTAAAAGCACCGATAGCGTTAGAAAATATTTTAGAAATTTTAATTTAATCTTTTGTTATTTTTGTACTGGTTTATCGTGTTTGGGAAAAATCAATTAAATTAATATTTTTATAAATAAT